ATTATCCTACTGCATACCAACGAGCAGAAAAGGTGGCGCGCCATCCAGTGGCAATGGCAAAATTTTTCAATGTTATTATCACAAATTAACTTGTGTTGCCGTTTGACTGTCGAATTCTTTTTCAGTTTTACACTTTCTGTTCTTCTGATATTTGTTCACAAACGCGTATAGACAGTCCGTTTCCATTTCGGTTGGTCGACATTCATAATCGATGCGCGTGTTTACCAATACATAATTGTCATTAGTGGACTTCTGCACCAAGAAACCTTCTTCATTTTTGTTCTCTTCGTAATCAATGCTGTCAGTCCCTCGTTCTTTATCCATTTCGTGAACTAAAGAACATAAAATACTGTAAGAGTTTCTCTCTCTAAATGGAACTTTACTTACTTTCAAATGGTGAGCCCGAAACATGCATTTCTTTCTCTCTGTTATGATCCAAACAACTTTGTAAATAACGTTCAATACCAATAAGAAATAAATTTTCAAACTTGTCTCCTGTATAATGATCAGGCCAGTTCATCAAATAGGACGCCACTTGAGCACCCGATAATGCGCACTGCGATCCAATAGTGTTATAACAACGTAGAATTAATCGATAAGCTTGTTCAATAACGCCATTCGGTATGTTTGTCTTTAACGATTTCGCACCTTTTTGTATGAGATGCAGCGTGTCGTAGAACGATAAACTTGATTTCGTGATATAATCGGTAATGTAATACACAAGAGCTTTTGCATCTGAGCCGGATCAGATGAATTTGATGTCCATATTTGATCGAACTGCTGATATTACCCATTCATTGAAATTGTTTACCCATTCGTGACTTCGTTTCATATAAACTTCCCCGGTTTCAGGATCAATGTACGATTTTTCATTGATTTGTCTTGGTAATCTGCATCGAGGTTTTTCTCCATATTTGTAGCAAGTCTTTGTGTGTTTATGTATATTACAAAGTTCCGCCAGCTGGCGAACATCGTTCTTAAATAATTCATTAAAGTTTGGAGCCGTTGGATCTGGTGTCTTCATACATAAAATTGATTTTTCGGTAGACTTTTTCTCTAAAACTAGAGTAATCTGGAAATTTGAAACAGCTAACTTGCGTCAAAATACCTTCCACTGTTGACGTTCGCGGCGTGCTCAAACCATACTTTGATAAATCAACTGGTGTCAGCGGAATATAACAGCTATTCCAGTCATATTGAACTGCTGGTGGAGTTCTGCAGCCCGTTTGTACTAAATAGAATGAAAAGTACAGATAGCATTGATATTAGATACTTAACCACTACGAAGTACCTTCATCGTCCGTCTCCATCGAAGTTTCATATTCACCCTCTGAACTATCTTCGTTTCTGCTAGTCGCTCTGAAATTATCCACATCTTCTTTGATTATATCTTCCAGATATTCGATCAAATTTGTCCTAAATTCTTCATTCTGAATATTTTCTGTCATTTGTGCCGGTGTTAAGTCATGTTTCAACCAGATGAGTACATGGAAATGCAGAGTTCCGCGTTCTTGACTTTCGACTGTCCCAAAGTGTGCTTTTACTGGACCCAAGACGCCGCCACCGATTATTGTTTCAAGTAAATTTGTGATAATAACATTGAAAAATTTTGCCATTGCCACTGGATGGCGCGCCACCTTTTCTGCTCGTTGGTATGCAGTAGGATAATCATCAGCGACTAACTTGTCAAGATCCATATTAACACCGGCGAAATACATGGCTAGTGGATGATACGTATCGGCCGGATTCACTGTCATAAATATGCTTGGTAGTCCTTTCTTGTATATCAGTGCATGAATTTGCTGAAGTTAAAAAACTCCATGTTTTATGGATAAAACGGGGTAAACGAGTATCTTACCGTTCTAAGTGCAGCACGAGACTGGCAGGATCCATGTACATGTCCACCAACGGTTTTGATTCCTTTCAACAGAGTATTGATACGTGGGTCACTGATAGATGAGATTTTATCTTTGTTAAGGGTAGACAGAGCCGTTTGAATCTCGTTTGACGTTAATGTTTGTAGTTGATTCGCGACGTCTTTGAAATACGGTCTTGAAATCATTAATCGAGCATTGAAGCAAGCGTCTCGTTTTTGAAGCATATTGAATACGACAAACATGAACGAATGATGTGTTTCGAATCGTTTGTCTTGATACCTTAACAGATACTGAATGTGTTTTCTGAATGCAACTTTAATGGGTCGGCTGAGATCTTCAATGGCACCACATCCGTACGGGAACAATGTAGGGAACAAGCCCAGTAATAGATTTGGATTGAAATACTCATTAGTCGGTTTTGATGAGCCTAAAATGCCAAGTGAAATGAAGTTAACGATAATATTTCGGAAAAGTGGGACACACGTGGTATGACGTATTTTTTTGGGTTCGATGTTGGGAGAAATGTGATCTTGTCTTCTTTGAACATGTTCTTCATTATGTATTCCTTCACATCTTCCGGAGTTACATTAGTTCCGTTGATATCAACTACTCCACTTGTTACTAGTGGGATCGAATCATTTTGCTCAAGTGGAGTTTGGTCTGTCGCTAACGGGTCGTTGACATAACCAGATCGTCGTGTATCAGGGCTACTTTGAATGTCCATCATCTCCCATATCGCGGCTGAAATATCGCTTTGTGGTAACTCGTTGATCTTGTTCATATCAATATCTACGTGCTGATACAAGGAGTTGTTCTGCCTTAGCCAATTTAGTGCAGCCGCTACTCTTTGTTTTCGAACAATGAGAACTTCTTCGAGTTGTTTGCGATTTGGTGGGTTTGAACCGACAAATACTGGAGGGCAGATACGCATTTCTCGTTGGAACATGCATTTATACAACAAACCCTTAGTTATTTTCCATTTCAACTTACTGATTTTTATACTGGCGGCTAAATCGTTAAGTGAAAGTGGAAGAGTTGAGGCGATGTCGGATAAATTCTGAGGAAACGATATGACATTTCCTTTTATCTTCGATTGAGCTGTTTCGGCAGTTTTAAACGGCGACTCAAGCTCTAGACATAAAGCCGATATCTGTTTATCAAACAAATGTATATTTGGAAATCAGTTTACTTACTAAAAACGACCGTATTCTGTCTGTACAGAGATATCAGCTGTTCTTCCGGGACTGTTAATCCTTTTAATTCTGTCGGTACATCACCAAGCCACATTTTGTTTGCCGCAGAAAACTTCGGAATTTTCGGATTTTTCTTGCTTGACAGATGTTTCCAACACGAGTCACATACTGAACAAATGGTATCATCATTCGGTATGTCGTCGCTCTTTAAATCAAGACCATGAATATATAAAATGGCATCCTTATAACAGAAATAACTTGAACTAAGATCCATGAAAGGTTCATACACTGAAATACGTAAAAGATAAAATACTTCTGAGATTCGTTCGAATTGCAAAGCTTACACTGCCCGTCTGCTGATACACGATCGGGAGCATCCAATTCCAAATTTACCGCTATACTCGACGCTTCTGGTGCCGCAAATGAAGAATTAAGACACATTTTAGTATTTCGCCTCAATAAATCAACGTTTGGAATTTGAGACATTATCATCGTATTCATAGACGATTTGCGAGATAACGCGTTACATATACAACACGAAGCTTTTGCTAATGACAGCATTGACATTTTCTCATTAAAGTTAAACATCGAAGTTTTGTTTTCAATAAAATAGCGGCCGGCCATTGCTGTTCATCACTTGTTTGGTTAAGTCTTCTAAGCACTTTACATTGTCTTTCTTTTCCAAGATCTTCACTTGTTTGGTTAAGTCTTCTAAACACTTTACATTGTCTTTCTCTTTCTCGAGCTTGGTGAAACGCCTTTTCTCTCAATTTTCGATTTCGCTCTTTAACTTTTTCACCTCCTGTTGCTGTCGAACAGCTTGGCCAAAGACGCTTATCGTTTGACGTGAAAGATTTTATTTCCGGTACCTAAAATGGATTTCATTGCAACGAGACAGCAACTTTATAAATCAATAGTACTAACTTTTACTGCAGAATTTGATTGAAATGTAGATGTAATCATAATTTGAGACTGAGCGCTGATACAAGGAAGTACTAAAGGAACAAAATGATTCGCGGTCCATGTTCCTTTGCTGTTACGTCGTGCTTCAACTTCGTGTAACGCATGTGTCCAGAGAATTGTTATTGTCTTATTTGTAAAGCTCGTCTTTTTTATAGGACTATACGTATAATTACATTTATTTAAATGGTCACTATAATCAATGTTCGGGTAAACACTTTCTATATTGCATTGCAGAACATCGCAGAGCGCAATTATTTCGTACATTTCCGAGAATGCGTAATTCCTGTACATATATCTGATATGTTCTTGTATAATGCCGAATGAGTTTCCATATTTTGTTTCGTATTGCTTGTAATTTTTTATCAATTCAATAATTGTTCGTACTCGTAGTTCAATATGTGTTATTTCACATTGTGACATCAGTCTGAGAATTGAATAATATAAACAGTTACCATCGCTATGCGTCTCAATTGGAATTAAACCTTGAACGATGATATTGCTACATTTTCTTAAATATGTTTGAGCTACTCGATCAACCATATGTTCTGACGAATCAAAATACATCAATGGTATAAAATTCAATGGAGCTATGAAGTCCCCTAGTTCTAGAATCTGATAATAAGTACTGCATATTTCATTGAAATAATCACTAGCACTCGCCGATAATTGAAATGCTTCTAACAATTTTTCAAACTTCTTATCCCGTGTCATTGTATCACAAAGGCCACACGATACATCGCCTGAAGGTCCCCAACAATAAACACAAATGTTACTCATTTTGAAGAGTAATAATTTTTAACTATCTGGAAAAGAAGTACAAACAGTTGAGTATCCATTTGAAAATGTTTTTTCTGTCCCTTTAGTAACCTATGCTCTGAAGATATATTCAACTTAGTGTCTGAAATTGTTTCTTTGAAAAATTTGAGCATAATATAATAAATTGAAAATTTACACAAAAATTTTCCGTTCTCTAGGTTTAACAATGTCCATTCTAATTTTTGTTTTAAAAAACTGAAATAGTTCATTGAAGATAACACGATGATATTCAACTAATTACATTCAGAGAGATTACTCCATGTTTAGAAAACTTTAATTTGAGATAATACAAGTGAACTTTTACTAACAAATGTTCGAGTTTTGGTAGTTGACAAATTAAAAGAGATAATTGTTTAATTCTGCAAAAACCTATTGTTAAACTTTTTATATTAGACGACATTACTGACATATCGCTGATATCAATTGCTTTATGAAAATCTAACACACATTTAATTAACGAGGGAATTTGAAGAGCACTTTTACAGATGGCACGCAGATCATCTTTATCTTGTATTTCATCTGTGTTGATGGTTAATGATGACAACAATTTTAGGCTTTGTAATTCAGCCATGAAATGTATTAATTCTGGAAGTTTAATACCAACTAATGTAATCTAAATTTTGCAAAAAAGTAGGAGAACATGTGTAGAGGTTCTGCGTAATGGAGATACTTACAGACCGGACGCCAACAAATTCTCTTAGATTGAATAATGAACAAAACACATCTATCTGATTTCTTCCGGCTATTATTCCGCTCGATAAAGTCAAATTCATCGCTTGTCTCTGAACCCGGCTAAAAACATTGATTAGCCATATTGTAAATATAGACGTCAGCCACTCTGATGGAACTGGAAAAAGAATACTAACGGTATTATGACCTCCACCCTTCCTGTCCTCTCCACCTTTGCTATGCTTTCAATCCTTCCTGTCCTCTCAATCCTCACTGTCCTCGTCATCCTTGCTGTCCTCGTCATCCTTCCTGTCCTCTCAATCCTTCCTGTCCTCTCCATCCTTCCTGTCCTTTCAATCCTCCCTGTCCTCGTCATCCTTCCTGTCCTCGTCATCCTTCCTGTCCTCTCCATCCTTCCTGTCCTCTCCATCCTTCCTGTCCTCGTCATCCTTCCTGTCCTTTCAATCCTCCCTGTCCTCGTCATCCTTCCTGTCCTCGTCATCCTTCCTCTCCTCCTGTTTGTTGTTTTGGCGAGCTCGCGGAGTAGCCACAACCGTAATAGAGTATTCGATGGCGAGCAACTAGTAGTTTTTATTAAAGATAGAATTTCAGCTAACTTTCGTAACCGAAAAACAAAAAGTACAAGAAAACGAAAACAAAACAGAATGTTTTTATTAGAACAGCGGAGGGAGTTCTCTCATTGAAAATAGGCCGAATCTCCAGCAGCCATCAGCAAACAC